AATGACCACGTTCATATTTTAGAAATGACGCCCACAAACCATGCCCAATAAACTAAACTTCAAGTTACGAGCAATGTAGATTGTTTGTTTAGTTTAACATTCCTCGTAACTTAAAGTTCTGTTAACTGTTAATTGTGCGGTTTCCCAAAACACCTATACACAAAAAACAAACGTACATTGTTTTCACTGCTCAGAAACATTTAATATACTGAATATACCGTCTATATTGCACACTAATAAAACAGTACATTTATCTGCGTGTATGCGTTACTGCACATACACAATATGATGAAAAAACATTTCAGCGACAGAACATTTGAATTTACATTTCAACTGTTCACCTGCAAGTAAAATTACAACTGGAAAAATAACTGGCATGTGCAAGACTACAGGTTCTACCAAAAGAAAGTTTTTTTAATGCATTGAGGAAAATACTCAGAAATGCTGTGTTATTCAATAGCATCACCTTTTGTCAGGAAAGCATTACGCATATGAACTCACCTGCAGAAAATGATATCTCCTAATTCTGAAAATCTTTGAATGGATGAGATTAATTTTTATTGTAAATCAATGGGGGTGGGGAGCAGAGGAGGAACTTAGTTGCACAAGCACCACTTTGGAAAGCCACAAAGTAAAGAAAACGAAAATTTTGAATTTTTTTTCGAGACATTATTTTTCCTGAGATGGAGATTTAAAAAAAAAAAAAAATTTAGAAAAAAAATTTTCTGCAGAAGACTTGCATTTACGTAAAACCATTCATAGAAGTTAACCCCACCCCAAAAAACAACACTTGCATGGCAGACAATTTATGACGGAATCGTGCCACACTGGTGAAAAAAGAACCCAATTTTAGTCAGACTTGCTTGAACATTGGCCAAGCGCACCAATCACCTAACAGTTTTTGGTCCTTCAATTTGCAACCTATAACCTCATGTGATACATAAAAACATGGCATCAAAATGACAATATTTGAGATTTCCTATTCTGAAATCCAGGGGCTTGCAATTTGCTTAACAGAATTGGCACATCTGAATTCTAAAATAAGTTCATTTTCAACTTTATGAAAGAACAAAGATAAACTTTCTTAATACGACCTAAAGTGTCTGATATTACTGAAAGCGGACATTCTGGAGTTTGAGACTAAAAAAAAAGCAATTTTTTTTTCATTTTTTTTAATCCATGCGATGCTAAGCTAAGCTAAAATTATCCCAGTGACATTCAATGGACAAACACATGGCAATGTCACCTCACATGGCGTATCCATAGTAATCAGAATGCAAATAGTCTGGAAATAAATTTAGTTTCAAACGAAAATTCATTTTCCAGCTTCTATTTTACGTTGCATGTAGACTTTTTACCAAAGGTAATTTACTGCCAGTGATAAATCAATAAAAAAAGCACACAATTGTCACATGCTGCAACCCATTTTCAAAAATCTATGCAAATAATTTTATTTGCATAAAAAATGAAATAAAATATTCATTACAAATTGGTGGAACATGCCTATGAAATGATTGACCCAAAATTACAGACATTTTCAGCAACAAAATTTTTTTTGAAATATTTTCAGATACCCAACAAAGATACATAGTGTTACAATTGTTTTAAAAACAATATAAATAGAATTAATAGAACACATTTTCACTTTCAAATCTATATTTTGAACCAATTTTCCAGCAAGTTGTTTACACAAGTTTCTATATATATTTATAATCAACTTCCTGTTTTCATTTGTAAGCACAGGATTCGTTTAAATACATAACATTTGTAGCACAGGATTCGGTTCACAATTTTGTCCATGTGCTTGGTGCAGAATAGGTGCAAAGAATTCATCTACAAGTGGCGAGTGAAAACAAGACCCAACAGAAAAATGCAACTGTCATTTTTTTCAGTTAATTTGAAAAAATATTTTAAATCTAATGCTTACAAAATGACTAAAAATTTAAAATTTGTTATTTCAGAGACGATTTTACAATTATTGAAAACATTTCAGAGAATATATTATTCGTGACCAAGACAAATGAATATTAGCATTGTAACCTGCTTAAAGTCAGACACGACAAACCACTTTGTCGCATTTGGTTCTAACTAACTTTAATTTAAAGGTTCAAAAAGGGCGTTATCAAATGAATATTGGAAAAGTTGACTGTCGACACCCAGGCTATCAGAACAATGGCTGTCGTGCATATACTTTCTCCATCACCATTGGAATATTCATAAATTACGGATCAATAACCCCTTTCTCCAATTTCATCAGGATTTTGGAACAATTTGAGATAAAATGAAAAGTTCATTTGTTAGGTGAGGTGGATGGTCTCAGGTTTCCTTCAAACGCAGTAAAATATGGAACTGCTTTAGATAAGATGCATTTCCTAGTATTCATTGAATAATAGAAAGATTGAAAATAGTGAACAACAAACTATTTTTCAGTTACTCGCACAAATTTTATTGCATGAAGGAAAACTGCTCGACGATGAACTGGTTACATGCAGACTGTCCAACTCCATACTCGATCATGACCTTTGATAAATTTTTAATTTTGTGTACTGTTATTTAGACTTTCAAAATATATGTTCTCACAATGTTCAAGCCAGTAAATAAATAACTTTTTTTTATATTTAAATTGTGATTAATAAATTAGTGTGTTGAGCAGGCAGTTTCTGAAAAATGACATAATTGGAAAGCGCATCTTTTTCTTGTGATAATCCACCGATGGAAAGAGCATTGGAATCTGATTGGTTCTCAGGCTGTGCCCAGGAGCCAATCAATTAACTACTCTCCACGTTGATGACCAGTTACAAAATGTAGGTTGCCATTTTCAGAAAACTGTTGAAAATACTCAAAGAAACTGCAGTTATTGGATAATAATAAAAATAATGCTCGACAACTGGCAAGTTTCAATGCACCAATCGATCAAAACGCAACACCTGGTCACAACCCAATCAGGGTGAAACACTTGCTTACAAAGTTATTTATTGGCTAATAAATATGCATGGCTTGGCCATCAACCAATCACAATAAAGGTAACACTGAATATTACAAAGTCTCTCTTAACTCGCTGTATAAACTACGGCATTTCATGAATTGCACACGTATATATAATATATACACCAATAGTAATGAAATTATTGGTGTTCTGTGTTGTGCAATATTTAGCGACACATGTAGAGACAAGGTCCTGCAAAATTTAAATAAGCTTACAAAATATATGGACAAAATATTCATACTGTCTTGCCCTATCGGAACTTACTCAAAACAACGCACAAATTTGGCGAGAAGAAATATTTCTCGAATAACACTATAAATACTAAAACTTTCTGATAAAGAATTTGAAAATTAATATTATATTTCATATTTAGAAAAATTCTGGTATGGATATATGAATACTGTAAACCAAATTAATTTTGTGAGACAAATTTTCACAATTCAGTGAAAATCATGAAATTTTGGAAAAGAGAAAATTTCAGTCTAAGCAACTGCGATCAAATTTTGATTCCCAGAATGCTGTTTCATCATTAAATCCTGAAAAAAGCAGTGAAAATTAATTGGTTCACAGTAATAAAAAAAGCAGGCGGGGGAGAAAAAAAAAGACAAGGTTTTACTAGTTCTATTAAGATCCAACAGATGTTAACCAACAGAATCTACTTGTTGCCGAGTATGTGCAGTGTCAATAGAAAGGAGCGAGAATTTCAAAACCAGTCATTCAAGTAGTTTTTTCACGAGTTAATCAAATGCGTCTGGTAAGAACACTAAGATTACACAAACTCTTATTTTGTCCTGTCTTAATCGATGTCTGGATAAAAAATACGTTTTTCATATTTTACAAGTGTTGTAAAATTTTAAAGGCAACATGGATGCCTTCAATATATAACATGTTTAGTACAAACACAAAGCTGAATTTAAAATACTAAATATCCGCATATAGTATCCCCCTTTTTGTTTGAGAGATCGACACTGTCACAATTTCTCAGCAACAAGACAACTCAATGCTTGGTTATTTCAGCAATATTATCATTAATCACTATTCCACGTGCTAAATAGAATTCAGGAGGTGCATTAAAGAATCTTTTCCCGATCGAAATTCAGCAAATCACCTCGGGTAAGTATGGAATAATTAACATTTCCAAGATGGAAGGACATCGTAATATTTGTAAACTGGCAGAAAAAGCATCATTTTAAAATAATTTATGAAGACAAAAATATCTGTCAGACAAATTATTGAAATTTTGTCTTACAAGGTCAACAACATAACTTACATCTTTATGATCATGATTTTAGGCAGCAAAATGGACTGAAAACATTCTTTTTCTCAAAAATATTGCTGGTTCCTGATTTAACTAGAAACAAGGTAATTACAAGGTATTTTACATAAAATATGCAGCATCAATGAACTATTAAATGGCCGTAAAACTGAATTTTAATAGTTTCAAGGTATTCTGTCTGGTGCAGTAGATATGAACCTAACAGCACATGCAGGGCAGGGCAGGGCAGGCCAAAATGAAATTTGTCCACTTGATACCTTTTTTCATAATTTTAGAAAAGTTCTCATTCGCAGTCTAGCCTCCATTTTGTTACAAAATACTTCAAATATAAATAACATATTAATATATGCACCAATTCTGAACTAAATCTTGACGGGAAAGTGAACCGCCCAAGTCTGGCATTTGGGAAATGGTATGAACATAACCAGAAAATTAGACACTAACATCAACTGTTTCCATCATGGAGGTTTTAATGGCTTCTCCGAAATTCTGATGTGGTAGCGACTCTATTAACTCAAATTCGCGCTTGACTTCAGTGGCAGTCGTTGGAAGGTCAGCTTCACTATCCGAGTTCTGGATGGGCTGCAAGGTATTGCTGCAATTTTCAGCGTTGGAAGTGGAATTCTCAGTTTCGTTCGGTAATTTCTCAGTTGACATCTCTAAGGAAATTTCAGAATCACAAACATCGGACGTTGACGTAGAAACGATATTGTCATTACCACTATCACTTTTGTCACTTTCTGAACTGCCAGCCTCTTCCAATGAGCTGATACCAGCATCTGATTGACTAGCGTACAAATCACCTTGTTGAGAACACACTGCTTCTTCCTGTGTGCTTTGATACAGGTCATTTTCAACGCAGACAGCTTCGTTTTGGGATGTATTGGTCAAATTCAAGTACGAGGCATTATCGTTACTATTGATGGCATCTTGAGAAAAGTGATGATAGATTTCATTGTGGCTGGTAGAAGCGCACGAGTCCGGTCCCAAACCATCACGCAAGACCGAACTCCTGTACAGATCACCCTGGCTGGAACACACTGCGTCAGATCGTGCTGGGCCACTGGGATAATCAGTCATGTCCGTGGTGTGGAAATTTTGACTTTTGAAAATACCGTTCTGTGAAGAGGTCACGTTTTCACTGGGCTCACAGGCAGCAAAAATGCCACTGTCTTGCGAAGATGCAGTGTTGAATGCGTCAGTATTGCTCAAGTGAGTGAAACTCGAACCATAAACCCGATGATTTTGCGAAACGTATCCTTGGTTCAATTCTTGACCAGTGTGGGAGCTGCTAACACAGGAATAAGAATGGCTGTCGGTTAACATGCCAGAACCGATACTCGCTGTCGGATTATTGAATCCAGTCAGACTGCTACACGATTGACTTGGCGTGGAAACAACGCAACTACTACTGGAGCTCATCAAATTAGCATAATTTGGAGTGCTGTCATCTGATTGGCTGTTAGAGAAGTTTCCCGTGCTCGTTGATCCAACCATACACATTTCTTGGTTTGTGTTCTCATCAAAGGTTCCTAATTCTAATTCATAAGCTGACGAGCCCTGATAAGTTTGACTATCGTAGTTGAAACTGTCCTGGGAACTGCAATCTGTAAAGCTTTCATCCGAGCTACTGGTGCCGCTACTACTACTGGAACTA